CTGGAGCTGTACACTGTGGGAGGCACTGAAGGGCTTGCTGCAGCCCATGCTCATTTCAAACTGCAAGAAGGTAGATGCTGACACATGAAAATCCCAGGTCTCAGCATAACGAGGTTTTCCTACCAAAATAAACAAATAAAAAAAGGCGGGGCGGGGGGGAGAGGTAGAGAAAGGGGGGATGGAGTTGAGTGGTAGCATTTAATTGTACTCTTACTTGTCATTTATGCCTACAATCAATATTTTCAATAGTAAATAAAAATCACGCATCTTTAGTGCCTCATAGGGCTTTGACTTTTCTTCTCACATTTACTGTTTCTATATGGTTACCACAGAGTTGGAAATATGGAAGTCTGCTGACTTGAAAAATTTTACCATCTTAAAAGGATTGATAAAGAGTCAAGTTTATAATTTTGCAAATTATGAAACACAGGAATGCCATCATACAGATATGTTGGTCTTGCCTTTAAGAAATCCTATTATGTTGGCTGAAAGGCAGTTTTAACAAAAGAGTCACTGGGCTCACTAAGTTATTTCAGAGGACAATATTTTGATCCCACAAGAGCCTCCCTAAACAAAAGCAGTTAGGCACACAGTTTTATATTAGAGAATTACTTTTGAGTGTTAGCTAATTTAGTTCTCTATTTAATGAAATATCCTCCTTTATCTGGTGATAATATATACCTATGTTTTCAGTGAATATCAGAGCAGTATCCATAGAGAGACAGTCAATATCAACTTGACCTCCTTGGATTCGATACCAGTTGGCTTGCAAATCTATAGAGCCATCAAATTTGTCTTGAAATCCAGTTTGAGAGCTGTCATTCATTCCTATAAGGACATCATCCAAAGCCCACTGGGCTGAATGCTTCCCTGCAATCAGATGAATAAAGGCCATTGGAGAAAGTTCATTATAGAGCAATATGAATATCTTTGTGACCATGATTTTAAATCGAATTGTCTAGAAATCAACATCAAATTAAGAAACACATAATATAAGATGAATATGGATGCTATACGATCTGAAAGCTACCATCAAAGTTGAGGTAAGCAATGACTTACCATGTTGTGGTTGCCACCATCGAAAAGCTGTTGCAGGTGTCTTTGCCTCCCGTGGCAGGTCAATGGAAATGATCTGTGGTTCCAGAAATGACATGAAGTCCAACTCTCGAAGCAAATGCCAGAGTATCCCATTGTCATTTGAATACTGAACAACAAGCCCTGAGTTATAAGACATAAATTCAGTTACTAGTTCCTTTCCTAGAGGCAAGGAACAGTATTTTTTAAATGGCAAAACTGCAGCAACTTCAAATTGAATCTCATGGAATGAGAGCACATCCATCTAACATCCAAGGAATGAATTAGTGGACCCGAAGGCTCATCAATTTCTTGACAGTTTCTAATGCACTGACTCCCAGTAAATGGAGACCAAAAATACATAAGCTCTTTTAAAGACCACTCAGCTTTGTATGAGTGATGAGCAGGTTGGTAAGGGGACCATAAAAACCCCCGCTCCAGATCATGTACTTGAATTTTAGATTTTGTCCTGAACATGACAAAGTCTCCTGTCATTATTATATACTCAGAAGAAATATTTCAATCTTCCTGGCACAAAATCAAGCGGCACTCTGCTGCCAAAGCATCGGACAGTAATTTCTGCTCAGTCTGGACTTCTAAGACTCTTTAACTAGCATTTTGCACTTGGCAGATCTCAATTAAAGAAGCTTGAATAGGGTCAAATGATTAAATAGCGAAGCAGAAATACTTCTCTCCAATGTGACCTGTGCTTTCCTTTCTCCTGTCACTCTTTTTCCTGATGCTTATCCTATCTACACCATTTGCCTGTCGATAGCGTGACACAATCTTGGCAATTAATGTGTAAGGACCTCATGTGCTACTTCTGCTGTTTTACCCAGAAATATTTTTATTTATTTACTTTTACTTTTTTTGGGGGGGGCATCAGGGATTAAACTCAGGGGCACTCAGCCACTGAGCCATAACCCCAGTATTTTATTTAGAAACAGAGTCTCACTGAGTTGCTTAGCACCTTGATGTTGCTGAGGCTGACTTTGAACTCACAATCCTCCTGCCTCAGTCTCCAGAGCCACTGGGATTACAGGTATGTGCCACTACGCCTGGCTAGCTTTACTTTTTATTAGTACATTATAGTTATGCATAATATTGGGTCTCATTTTGACACAGTCATACATCATGGAATATAATTTGCTTCACTTCAGTCTCCAGTACTTCCCCTAGCCCTCCCCCCAGTCCCCCTTCCTCTACCCTGATAGTCTTCTTTCTATTTATTTAGGTTTTATAATTAGTGCTTTATAGATATTTATAAAGCTGGAATTCACTGTGGTATATTCCCATATATGTATACGGCACAATTTGGTCAATTTCAGACTATCAGGGAGGGAAGATTGTCTGTGGTCTCTCCTTTCAGAGATGACTCACTCTCTCCTTCTCCATCTTGAGAGTACATTTGTTCCTATAAACTTTGCCATTCTTTAACCATGAAAAAGATATTTGTGTAATTCAGCACCAGTTTTAGGAAAAAAAAATAGATATGAAATATATGAAGGAGAGGGAGCAGAGGTCCTATCTAATTGCCTACTTTGAAGTTATTCCTAAAATAGGAACAGCATATTCATAATTATGACTGAGGACACTGAACTACTTTCTAATAATTTCATAATTCACATAAATTATGCTCAGTAAAAATATGCTTGTTATATTTATTTTATTATATTCTTACTCTTGGAAAAATATAAATCATTTATGGTATCTGTAACATTTTAATTTCCCTATTATTGAGTGACTAGAACTTCTCCATCCCTTTATCATGTTAGATAATAAAAGTTCACTAAAATAAAGTTTCAAGAAATATTAGGATGAAAAATATAGCCAAATGAAAAGCTGATTAATGCTAATTAATAGCATATGGAATTATGGTTACCAGATCTGACAAGGAATAAAGCCAGAAATAATAATAAAGCATATATATGCTAAAAATTAGAAATCTCAAAAGAATTAAATCTACTATATTTCAAATAGAAGAACCTACCAAACAATGAGAGGATAAAAATGGCTTGAAGCACAAGGCCTCTTTGGGGAGACAGCTTGCTGTACACAGGTGTAGGGATAGGAGTTAGAGCTTTTCCATGTGTTGGGGAAGGGAAAGTCATGCAGAAAATGGAATCTTGGCTGTTTCTAGTCTTTATTCTAGTCAAGTTGAGGATTGTCTGGCAAAAGCTCTAGTCTCTAACCCTTAATGTTTGCTCAAATTATATCCTATTGACTGTAGTGTAAAGGATGGATAAGAGTGTAGACGCGGCAAAATTTAGTTTTCTTGTGTCTACTAATTTGTACTATTATGGTTTATATTTAATACCATGAAAAAGATGAAGGTGTGTGTGTGTGTGTGTGTGTGTGTGTGTGTGTGTGTGTGTGTATCTATGAAGAGAAAGAGAATATTAAGATAGCTGTTTGAATATGACCTATGTAGAAGGTAGATCCAGAAATGAAGCATCATGAGAATAAAATCTCACTGACAGATGTGTCTCTTCCCTTCCACTCAAAGCACAATACAAGATCAGGACCTGCATCACCTTGGAACAGGCCTTATCTGCGATGATTTATAAAATATGTCCAAAATTCTTTGACATTCCTCCCTTCAAAAAAATGGAGCTTAATTCTCTTCCCTTTGAGTTGGATTTAGTAACTTGCTTCTAAAGAACAAAGTGTGGCAGGAGCCATGGAGTATGACTTCTATGACTAGGTCATTACAGACATTGCATCAGGGGTGGGGGGCTGTAGCTCAGTGGTAGAGCGCTTGCCTACCATGAGTGACACCTTGGTTTGATCCCCCTCCTACCAAGAGTGTAAGTTTCTTCCTTGCTTTCTCTCAGGTGCCTTGCTCTGGAGAAAGCCAGTGAAGTAAGGCAACCTATGGACAGGTCTATACAGAGAAACTCTAAAGCCTCTTGCCAAAGCCAGAGAAGAATGGAAGCCTCTGCCAACAGCCATGTGAGTATGCCATTCTGGAAACAGACTATATCTCCAATGACTGCCCCCATCCTGGCCTTTGTCTTAACTGTAACCTCACAAGAGATCCTGAGCCAGGACCACTCAGCTAAGCTGTTCCCAACTTCCTGACTCACAGAAACTGTGAGACAATATATGTTTGTTGTTTGAAGCTACTCCATTTTAGGATAATTTGTTATGGAGCATACCACCCCAGTCCTACTCAATCAGAATTTGCATTTTAACAAATGCAAATCTCAAATGATTTCAGGTGTACCAAAAGTAGGAGCTTCATGGCTCAGAAGGTACATCCTTCCCTTGGTCTCCACTCCTTGCCCTCTCCTCACTAGCTTCTTCAGGAGAGTCACATATACCTTCCGGCAGCAACAAGATCTACAGGGATGAAACCTCAATTCCAGAGGACAATAAAGAAGTGCCTCACAGAGAAGTAAGAGAGCATGGAGGAATGGAAGAGGGGAAGAGCAATATCCATATTTGATATCAGTTGCTCAGCCTCATTAGCTGTGTCATCTAACACATTGTACATCTGAATAAACCAAGCCATTTTAGCTCATCTACTGAATGTTTAAGGCATGTAAAACATTTCTCCTTTTAAACTACAACTCCATCTGCATTCTGCCGAGCCTTATGGAAAACAGCCTAATTTTGACTTTAATTCCAAATATGTAAATTGATGCTTCAGCTTGAGTAAGTAAAGAATCTTCACTTTCATCACTGGAAGAGATTTGTTCAAGGATTTAGGCAGATTTACATGTTAACAACCAGTTTTCAATAAAAGGCTGAGAAATGCCTGTGGGATGTGAATTACATGGCCCATATTGAGTCTAAGAAAATGGTTCAGGACTAGCTGGGAACAAGTTACTTCCTCCTAAAGGGATCCTAAGGGGAATTTGCCCCACAGGGCAGACAATGGCACTTGTAATCAGAAGTTAAGTATAGAGCAGAGCATCATGTCCATGATAAGCAGATGCTTCCTACTGGGCTAGGTTCAGGGTCTTTCTTTTTCTTTCTTTCTGCTTTTTTGCTTATATAAAAACCAGGGCACAAATATGAAATTTCCATAAGAGCCATGCATGTAAACTTCCCTTAGATTTCAATTTATTAAATGTCACTTCCTTGGTAAGTCATACCTAGACTATTCTACCTAAATTGGCACTTCACCTGGTATTGTTTACTTTCCAGCTCAACCTGTTTCTGTCTATCTCCTATCAGCTAACAGTTTCTGACTTATTTCTTTTCTTTATTGTTTGTGATCTGACTCCTTCCACTGGATTTTAAGTTCCTTGAAGGTGGTCATTAGTATTACCCTGGCTGCTCCTGACACAAGGTAGATTTGTGCTTTCTTCTCTTCCCCTTCACTGACATGGCTGACAACATTCAGAATCTACCCAGTAGATGCTTCACGATCTTGTGAGCTGGGATGAGGACCTCGGATGACCCATGAAGAAAATGTAGCACAAGGAAAAAACCCTTGTTTTAACCCATACGTAGGTAGAGGGTTTTTATTCTAGCAGAGCCTGGCTCATCATGACTGATGCATCTATGTTTCGGTGACATTGTATCTGCAGCACCTAGAACAGTGTCTGGTTTAGAATGGATTCTCAATAAATATCTGTAGAAGAAATCAAAGAATGCAAATGTTCTATACCAATTTCCAGACTGCTACTTTAGTAGACAGATGATTTGGATAATCACTAGACTAAAGTACTGAGATGCTCAGAAGTCATTAAAGCCTTCAGTTACTGGAAATTTTGAGTTGATGAACAGCGCTCTTAGTGGTTCTGCTGACTAACAGGTGCTGTTTAAGTCAGTATGTTTTTCACAGTCACACCTGACATAATAACACACTTAGATAATAATCCTGTAAAACTCTCCACATGTTGTTTCTGAGGCCACCGTGTTGAGAAGGACCCATCTGAGAAATCCATGGAGTTTTAGGAACCACCTCACATTCTGGGTTCCTGAAAGAATCCCATTCTATCTGCAGAGCTTCAAGGCTTTGCATTTCTTTCAGAACTGGGTCTTTTGGGGGCAGAAGATGGTAAGCTGCCTAGTGAGGATTCAGGGTAAGGAGAGAGGAAGTACAGTATGATGGTTAAGGTGTACATTGGGGAGCTGATGTGAGTGGTTTGAATCCTTGTTCATCCACTTACTAAATGCATGGTTGTGGGTAAGTTACTTGACCTCTCTTGCCTCAGTGTCTACACCTGTAAAATAGGATTAATAATGATACTAGGGACAGCAAAGGAATACCATGGAGATGATACAAATTAACACCAGTAAAAGACTCAGACACAGTGCCTTGCATGTAATAGGTGCTCAGTAAAAGTCAATGTTCTGTAGTTATATAGACGTTAAGAAAAATTAATTAATAAATTTTTAATAAAAGTTAATATCTATAGAACTGTTCCTCTCACATAAGGATTCCTATGGAATTTTGAGGAGCAGAAGTAGAGTTCAATCTGTATTCAATAAAAAGTATGTCAACATGAACCTAAATGTTATATATAAATAAAAAGAACCAATAAAAAGGAAAAAAATTATAAAAATAGAAAATTAAATAAAACAATTAAAAAATAATAATAATGCCCTATGCCAACAAGTTTTAATTCTCACACTGACTGCAAAAGTCTATGCAATTACTTCCTTTTCGCCCCTCCAAGAGGAGACTTACAATGAAATTGAGCTCTCTAAAACAAATGACCTTTGACCCTACCTGCACTCAGAGCAGTCATGGTATTTTTCAGGCCTAAGGATCTGTATAAAACATTTGAACTATGACTCTGTGTTGTCACCCTTTCCATTAAGGATAAAAGAAGGCAAGACATGATTCAGTGTAATGTATCAGTTTGTATAATCCAGACCAAATTTTGGGTAGAAAAGGGGCTAATTTGCCTATAGAAACTGTCATTTCTATGGAAATATACCCACTTACCTTCATTTCTAGCCCTTGGTTTGATGCAGGTAATACCTGAAGTTTTGCTTCCAATTTGTATATAAAACTGAACAAGCCTGGAGAAGGAGAAGGAAAAAAAAAAAAACCACCCCTCAGTTTACTTACAAATAGGTGAATTCTTAGAAGAGCTTTAACCCTTTATATTTTGACATAGAAAGAAAAGACTCTGTAATTCTTAAGTATTACTTTTAAGCCTAAGGGACATATGACAGGCAAAAATATGTACATATCTTAATAAGTTAACTCTAATTATTTAGATGAAGTTAATTAATATGGCCATTTATCTTATTTTGTATAATGATCTAACAAAAGAAATAAAACAATTTAATTCCCTTTCATTGTGATGGTCTGATATACTCTAATGGGAAATTTCTTAAATCTAGACAAGACCATTTCTGGACATTCAAATGAGAGAGAAAAAAAAATATCTAATACTAAGAAGTTGAACACTATATTTGTTTAGGGCCAGATAATTATCTATTATTGATTTAGATTCAGTTGGCTAAATTTTTCACAACTGAGTCTCACTCAGTGTTATGTAATTTTGACTCTGTCCATGACAATCAGAGGAGATTGTTTGACATAAGTACAGCTTTGAGAAAAGAATGTGGAAGGACATGTAAAGAGATTGAAGTCAGCAAACCACATAAAAGGGAAACCCAGGTTTAAGTGTCCTTTTCTACCTGTTCTCTAATAATTTAATGGATGGAAAAGAGCAGAATTTTATTTTAGGTGTGCTACTATTACTTCTTTTGACCTTAAAAACCAAACAGTTCTTTATACTACCAGTAGGTGTCAGTGTAAGTATTTTAAATTTCTGGGGTAGTTTTCAATAAGTGATGATTAATAAATTTAGATAAATGAGGATCATTTTCAGACATGGAATTTAAAGTTGAAAAAAATCTTTGTTTCAACAGCACATACAAGTATAATATCAAGGACCTTTTTTTAAATAATTACAAATAACTTTAGAAACCAAGTTAAATATATACTAGGTATATAAGCTTCGGTGATTCCTGTATGCTGATTGATAAATTATGGTATGACTTTTGTAGTACACATCTATTTAATTATTGAGCTAAGGCTATGCTTCAATTTTACATAGTATAATCTGTATATAGAACCATTAATCTGTACATAGAAATTGATATAAAATATCAATTCTCCATAGTAAAACAGAATCTTTTAGGTTGGCCACATGGTGTGGTCCATACTATGTTCATGGAGAAGTATACCAACTAATAACTTACCTGATATTTCTAGTGTCCAGAGGGATAGTTCTTGCCTCCCTTTTCCCAGGGCCATTAAAGTAAAGAGACTTGCCATCATTAAGGGTTCCGCAGCCAGTTCCAACCTGGCCACCAGTTATCTTGTACCACAGAGGGCTGAGCTTCCCCTCAAACCTATCAAACATCTCGCTGTAATTAGGGATATTTGACACACAGGTTCCTTGTGCAGCTTTAGAGAAAAAAAAACATAGGAGCTTTGTTGGAATCACTAAGCATTAAAAGGTATATTCAATACATGGACAAAGAAAGAATTTCCACAGGTATTAGGAGAAAGAAGCTACATAGAAATTTGTATCTTACAATGATCTGCCTGAAAGACAACCTATCATCACTACTATCATCAAAAATTCTACTCTGAACCAGAGATATGATAACTTATGATATAATGGTGTATTAAGAATTGTAATGCAAAAATAAATAAATTTTAAAAAAATCTCTTCTGGGGTTGGGGTTGTAGCTCAGTGGTAGGGCACTTGCCTACCACGCATGGGGCATTGGGTCTGATCCTCAGCACCACATAAAACTAACTAAATAAAATAAAGGTATCGTGTCCATCTATAACTACAAAATAAAAATAAATGCTATTCTGCTTCTGTATTTTTACATTTTTTTTTAATAATGATAGACTTTGGGAATGATGCATCTCCACAGTTCTTGCTAACCAGAGAATCTGTGTAAACTGAGAAGTAGATTTTGTCCATAGTTAAGTTTATTCATTTGTTGTCCTTTTATTAGAGGATCAACAAGGGAAGTTAGTCCTGGATTAAATAAAAAAAATACCACCCTCTGAAACTATAAATGACAGCACTCTCCACAGAAGGCCTGCAACAGCGAGTCTGCCTTTGGTTATGTGCCAGAGGCGGCCAGAGCACAACAAGCTGGGAAGGAGTCTTTGAAGTTGCTCCCAGGAAAAATTCAGAAATGATTTTGAAGCTTATAATGTTTTCTTCAGTTTTACTCTTTAATCTCAGTTCCCTTTTCATTTTTGCTTATAGTAACATTCAAAGGTGACTGTGGTTAGAAAATACTTCTTTTGCAATGCTTTCTTTGGGAAGTCTTCCATTTATTATTTTATAAGTTGTATTTTTGCTTTAAATGCACACAATTATACTTCTCTTTTTAAATTTATTTTTTAGTTGTAGTTGGACACAATATCTTTATTTTTATGTGGTGCTGAGGATTGAACCCAGGTCCTCACACGTGCTAGGTGAGCGCTCTACTGCTGAGCCCCAGCCCCTACAATTATATTTCTTTTTAAACAAAAGCAATGTAAAGGGCGCAGGGAGACCCTGAAGCCAAGTGGTTAAGAGCCTATGTTTAGGTTTTGGAGAATGACTGCCAGAGTTTGAAGCCCAACTCTAGCAACTCCTAGCTGTGTGACCTGAAGACATGTATAAAGTCTCTCTGTACCTCAGTTTCCTCAAACGTAAGTAGATTTTATAGTACTACGGCACAGGGTTTATGTTAGAATTAAATGAGGTGAAATAAAAAGCACTTACTTCGGTGCTTAGGATGAAGAAGGGTCCCGAGCAATATTCATTATGGTTGCTATTAATAATAAATCTCTAGGGAGTTAAATTTGTGACATCATATTTTCTTCCTTAAGCAGCTTGAAACTACAAATATATTTTTTATTTAAATTTTTTTTAGTTATTTGTGGACACAATACCTTTATTTCATTTTATTTTATTTTTATGTGGTACTGAGGATTGAACCCAGTGCCTCACACTTGCAGGGCAAGTGCTCTACCATTGAGCTACAACCCCAGCCTTATAAAATATCTTTATCTCATGTTCCTAAATGGCAAAATCTTACAATTCTTAGACTTAAAGAAGAATAAACTCAGCGTGTACTTCTTTGAAAGAATCACATGAAATTATTGACTAGAGACGAACATTATACAAGCAAACCATTAAACTTGTGGTATTTGGCCTTACCAGTGTACCCCAGGTCACAGAAACACACGCCTGAGATGCAGTCCCCATGGCCACTGCAGTAACTGGGACAAGGCTCAGATATGTACACTCCATCTAAGCCAAACGGGGGCACGTTCTTCTGTGAGCTGCTCTCCTGGATCCACCGAAATCGGGTTTTGCTGTTGGGAGAAAAAAAAACCCCACATCTGTTTCCTCACACACAGCCTTGGGATATAGACAGTTCAGGAAAACTCAAGAGAGATTTAATATTTATTTTGATGTCATGCATGTTCTACCCCATGTGTAACCTTCATAAATTGTCTCTCCGAGATCTTTCTCACAATTTCTTGATTTTTTTCCCCCAGCATAAATGTTTCAATACCAAGAGGATATCAGGTACAGAAGCCTTATTATTATTTTTTTACATAATTTTTTTAAACTTTATTTTATTTATTTGTTCATTTTTATGTGGTGCTGAGGGATCGATCAAACCCAGGGCCTTGCATGTGCCAGGCAAGCACTCTACTGCTGAGCCATAAACCCCAGCCCCTACATAAAATTTTTGATGGCCAGAAACATCATAGGTTTTTACCTTCATAAATTTCCATCCTAGGTTCTTTAAGTAATCAATAAAAACCAGAGTGAATCTTTTCTTTTCTTTTACTTAATATTTCACCCTTCCATCACCCTACTTTTATGGATATTATGGATTTGGTATTTTTCAGAAAAGGTTATTTGGGAGTTTTTGAAACTTCAAATACAATGTTCTTCTTTTGTTGGGACATAGAAGGGGACTCTGGCCATTGACCATTGAAATGATTCAGGTAGAGAAGAGTTAAGTTTATAATGACAGCTCTCCAACCATCTCTGACTTCCTTCTTTTTACTCCTCATGTTTATTTCATGAACTCTTATCAACCAGCTGGGCTGCCAATCAACACTGGTACTAGTGTTCCAAGACTTCAAAATCCTACAAACCAGGAGGCTAGGAAGCTGCTCAGTCTTTTTTTCCCTTCAGTACAGTAGTTCTGGCCAGAACCAGGGAAGCAACCCTGTTTACAGATCCTAAAGCTCCTACCAATTCAAGAAACAGAGAACACTCTGAGGTATTTTGAGAAGGTAAAAGATCTCAGGAGTACAGTATTACAGAATCCATATTAACAAAACAAAACTGAACAAGCTCTGTCTTTAGTGGACTAATCATTTGATTAAGTAGGTTAGTCCAGGACATGATGAATCATAATTGGGAGTTTTTGATGGAAGACTTTTTCAGAGTGAAGAAAAACAGATGGTTTCTCTTTTACTTCTTCTAATCTTTGCTACTTGGCCTTTAGTTGGATGGTGCAAATCAAATCAACAAAACTTCCACTAGCCACAAGGTAAGCAAGTTTTGCTTCATTTCCATCTCTTTAAGTTGCGCCTGGTTCCTGATGCCTGCTGCTACTTTGTTTTTTTCTCAGTGGTGAGACACTGGGATTGAACACAAGTAATTCAGCAACCTTAGACTTGCTAGCATAAGAATGGGTAAAGAACTCATTAAAGGGTTGGGGTTGTAGCTTGGTGGTAGAGTGCTTACCTAGCATGTGTGAGGCACTGCGTTTGATTCTCAGCACCACATATAAAATAAAATAAAGGCTCATCAAGAGTTAAAAAAAATTTAAAAATACTCATTTAAAACTAGTCAGAGACAGACCATCTGAAGAAGCAAGGAAGTAAGTAGGCCAAAGCTAAGCTAATAAGAATGTCTAGATTCCATATTTTAAATTAGAGGAGATACAGTCTTGAAATTATTAATATTTAATTTTTTTTTACTTGTAGATGGACATAACTTTATTTATTTATTTGTTTATATGTGGTGCTGAGGATGGAACACAGTGCCTTACATGTGCTAGGCAAGTGCTCTACCACTGAGCCACACCCCAGCCTGAAATTATTAATATTATTAATGTTATTTGGGTGCATGTACCTTTCTGGATTTTTCAAGGAGACACAGTGGAATATAGAACCATGATCTCCTGCTAAACAGCATTAACTTATTTTGGAGAGCCACACAAAGAAACAAAGGAGTCTTCCTTGTAGTTAATTGCCTATCTCTGATCATTATGTTCATTCAACATTCTTCATTAAACCAACATTTATCGAGTGCCTGCCACATGCCAGGCCTTGTGCTGGGGTTGAGTATACCAAGGGAAGCAACATCCAGATTTGCTTCCTGCCTGTGAGTGGCCCACAGTCGAGGGAGAAGACACACTTATCAAGCACTTGAACAAAGATATGAACATCTATAACACGGATAACCACTGCTAAGAAGAAGAGAGTTAGAAGAGCATGCACGAGAGATCTTTGACTTGATAGTCCAGAAGTGGGTTGGAAGTGATCTGGAGGAAGTAATAACTCAGGAGAAAGAGTTTAACTTATGTAATTAAGTAAATATGCAAGTAAACCATAGTGTGGTTTGAATTATTGAAATCACCCAACAAAACTTTCCCTTTGTTTTTCCTGTTTCAGATAAGCAAGAAGGGTCTATATTTTTGTCCCATTCTCTAGTTTTCACCTTTGTCTGGAGGATGCCTGCATGAACAGGAGAACTGGTTTCACCCTTCCACCACCACATAGCTCAGAGATGTCACCTCTACATCTCCAAACTAGGAAGGTTCCTGCGTACCTGATGTTCTGTGCAGAGATGCACATGGGGTGGGTAGTGAAGACATTCTTTTTAAAAAATTTTTTTATTTTAATTTTTTAGTTGTCAATAGACCTTTATTTTTTTAATTTATATGTGGTGCTGAGGATTGAACCTAGTGCCTCACACATGTGAGGCAAATGCGCTACCGCTGAGCTCCAGCCCCAGCCCTGAGACTTTCTTTAGAATACTAAGCAATGGTGTCAAGACACATCCATGGACTATGTGTGGACCAAACTGGCATCACAGCCAATGAATAGGAAAATCTGGTATCAGAGAACTTCCAGTGGCAATCCTACTGGTTAAGACCACACAATTCCATGTGAATTTCTTTTTTTTTTAATGTTTAAAATAATTCCATGTGAATTTCTATTCAGTTCTACCATGTTCTACACAGCACTAGAGACGGGGTGACCTCCTGTAGCCACTCAGCCTCTCAGAGATGGGTATAACCTGCCAAGATGCCAATCACCCTGTTGACTGCAAGACATCATGAAGCAAGACTCCACCCCTGAAACCTTATCCTTGCCTTTGATATAGCTCCTTAAATAAAACTACCAGAGCCATTTTAGTTGTTCAGCTTCAGCGCTTGTATGGGCTGGATCTAACGGGCACTCCAAGCTTCTTACAACTATAATTCTGACTTTGTCTTTTTTCTTCACTAATTATTTTAGACTTTATTTTCCCAGGTGGTTTATCCCCTCCTAATCAGGAAAAATTACCCTGACAAGGTGCTGGCCATCTTGTGATATGCAGACACCTGTTTCAGAGCAGACTTGCAAGCATACAGTCTGGATAGGGAGGCCTCTGAGATCT